TGGAAGGTACTGACCGGGTATCCTGCTTGGGAAGGAAAACTGAACTCTATAAATAAATGAGATGCCATGTGAGGTTCGTCTCTCTCTTCTTCCTCTCCAGCTGGCACCATGTGAAACATCGAATCTTGTTGGTAACTATTCTCCTCTCCTTTCTCTCTCTCCTTCTCTCTTATCTTTCTTTACCCCTTTTAATCTGTTTTCTTCTGTTACTCTTTTCCTTCTCTTGTGGGTAACTTAAAACCAATGAATTGTGTTTTACTAAAGCTAATATATTGACTGTTTTTAGTGGGTGTTTTCTGTGGAATGGGTTTTTTTGTGCTGAATGTTTTAGTGAAATGCCTTTTCTTGGTTGTATTTTACTCTTGTAAAACCCTTTTGCCAAAATATCTTATTTTTCTCACTAAATTTAAAGAATTTCTCTTAGACAAGAGTGTGAGACTCTTTCTCCAGATGCTAATTAGAGCTTAAAAACCAAAAGGCTTTTTAAAAGTCTTAAATAAAATGTAACCACTCTGGGCAACATATAGTTTACATCCGGAGTGTAACAATCTCTTCCAACTCAGTATATTCTGTGATTCTGTGAATTCATTTAGAAGGGGTTGAAGAGGACGTGGGGAATAGTTACACTATGTCTACATGCAGGCATATGAAGAAGAGAATATGCTCCTACAGAGATGATACAATACGTGACAACCTCCAGGTGCTAGGGATGCATGGCGGGACACTTTTTTGCCTTCGCTCAGTTATTTCTCTACACCTCCCCAGGTTGCATGCCTCCACGAAGAGCTGAAACTATTTGGCAAAATCTAGCCCAAAATGAAGAGAAACTAGAAATACTTGATGCAGTACAGGCGCTTGTACTTTTCCTTTGTCCTTTTCCCACTCTCAAAACAACCTCACCTAGCTGCCCCAAACAAGCAAGAACCAATGTTAGTTTTAAAACACAGCTTTACACATGTAAAATAAGGCACATGGAGGCCCAGTGTTTCTCCCTTCCCTTGGGTACACAGATGCAGTGAGGCTCTGTCTTGCAGACAAAGACAAATTGAAATGGCAGCAAGCCATGCCGGGAAGTCACACAGGATTGATATGATGCTGGAAATACCTTCTGAGGCAAAGAGAGAAATCTCTACCAAAAATATACATTTCCAAGGTGTGTTGAGTCTGGCTGAGCTGGAGTTCATTTCCCCATAGCAGCCCTCACAGTGCTGTACTTTGCATTGGTAGCTAGAAAGGGGTTGATAACACACCAGTGTTTTGGCTACTGCTGAGCACAGCATCAGCACTGTAACATTCCTTCCCCAGTCGAGGGCAAGATTCTGAGAGGGAATACAAGGAGGCCAGCTGACCCAAACTAACCAAAGAGATAGTCCATACTGTGCTGGTTTAAAGGTAAACTGGCAGGAGAAATGAACCCAACTCCAAAGAGATTATAAGTCAGAATAACAATTTAATAAAAATAATACCATAAATACAATTATATGGACAAACAATTGGTTTAACCCACAAAACCCAGATGTATAATCCAGCACCCTGGGGCACGAACAGAGTGGTGTTTGTTGACCCCTGTGCTAAGCCCAACGTGGTCCCCAAGTCCAGAGTAAAAGGAGAGGGAAAACCTGTTGGTGAGAGTGCTGGTCACAGTCTGGTCGAGGGTGGTGATCACAGTCCAGTCGAGAGTGCTGTCGCAGTCTGGTCGAGGGTGGTGATCTCAGTCTGGTTGAAAGTGGTGGTCACAGTCCGGTCGAGAGCAGTGGTTGCAGTCCAGTCGAGGTTCTGGTCCTCTGGATCCAACGAATGGTACCAGAAGTCCCAAGACCCCAAGATTATATACACTCAGGTTCAGGCAGGAATGCCCGGTACCTCCCTCAGGGTGGGGAGTTCCACAATGGGTGATTGTGAGTCGTGGGTGTGAGGACAGGAGCATCCTCCTATCTCACAGGCCTCTTAACACCCAGCTTATAGCCTGCGGGGGTCAGGTGTGCTCTGGGCAGCTGCTGCAAATGGTCTATTGTTAACAGTTTCTGGGAAATGGCATGGAGGGTGTAGAATACACAGTTTGGGTTACACCTACACACTGATGAACTGATCCCAGCTGTTCTAACTAGGACACATACCATATGACATCATCTCAGATATAAAAGCTAAGGAAAGGAGCAGGAATGGGGCATTTGTGGTTTCCAATGGCTGCCTGCTAAGAAACCATTACGAGTTGCTGAAGCCCTGCTTCTCGGGACGTGACTGGTCATCACTCACTGATGGGAAGTAGAGAATAAACCTTGTTATTTTCCACTTTGCTTTTGGGCACGCAAGCTTCCGCTTTTGCTTTAGTAAACTGCCTTATCTCAACCCACGAGTTGTTTTCCATCTTATTCTCTCTCCCCCTTGTCCGGCTGGGAAGAGGAGTGATAGAGCAGCTTGGTGGGCACCTAGCATCCAGCCACTACACAAGGGTAGCTTAGGATGGAGGACCCACTCCAGTACTGTGGTGTTGAACAAGGAGTCAAGTCCAGGTAGATCAGACCCCTTGGAAGTTCGCCATTGGTCCCTGTGCTGGTTTAAAAGTTAACCAGCAGGGGAAATGAACTCAACTCAAAAGAGAGATTATAAGTCAGAATAACAATTTATTAAAATAATACAATAAGTACGATTATACAGACAGACAATTGGTTTTAACCCACAAAACCTAAATGTGCAACCCAGCACCCTGGGGCATGAACAAAAGTGGTGTTCCTTGCCCCCCCCCCCCGAGTCCAAAGTAAAGGGAGAGGGGAAAAAACCTGCTGGTGGGAGAGCTGTTGCAGTCTGGTTAAAAAAGTGGTGATTGCAGTACAGTCGAGGGTGGTGGTCTCAGTCTGGTTGAGAGCAGTGAGCTGCAGTCTGGTTGAGAGAGGTGAGCTGCAGTCTTCCTCTGGATTCCACGAGTGGTAAAAAGGTTCCAAAACCCCAAGTTTATATATTCTCCAGTTCAGGCAGGAATGCTCAGTCCTTCCCTCAGAGTGGGGAATTCCATAAAAGGGCATGAGGACAGGAACATCTTCCTATCTCGCAGGCCTCTTAACGCCTAGTTTATAGCCTGAGGAGTCAGGCTGCTCTGGGCAGAGGGTGTAAATGCTCTATTGATAACAGTTTCTGGGAAATGGCATGGAAGGCTATAGAATACACAGGTTTGGGTTACACCCATCCAGTGATGAATTGGTCCCAGCTGCTCTAACTAGGACAGTCCCCTAACTTTATTCTGGATGGGTTTTTTATAGGTGAAGCTCTAAAATTCTTCTTACTGCCTGTCATTCTCCATCCCTTCAGAGTTGCCTGAGGCTACTTGCAAGAATGTGGCACAGAGAAGACTGTTTGCTCAACAGCTGGGCTCAGTTTGTCGACTTGGTTAGAATTGAGGAATTTTCAAAGAGCTCCCTATTAATTACAGGAAACCCATGGGTACTGTTCTGTTTTCCCATTAACACAGTTTCTTTCAGTTTTCAACTAAATTATTTCAACATCTGGGCTACAGATAAACCAACAATTTAATTTGACTTCTGAGAATGGAAAGAATGAACTATGCAGTCAAGCATACACTTTCTTCTTGAAACTGATCATAAAATATTTGTGGGCTTTTGTTTTCTGCTGCTTTAAAAATCTGTCCTTAGTTTATATATAGGAAAGTATTAAAGACTAAATAGACAATCCTGATTTTTTAATATAATCTTTATAGAGGCTATTTTACAGCATGAAACCCTTGTTTTCAATATTTATTCAGGAAATGATAGGGAAATCAGAAGGAGTTCACAGAAAAAGCACTTTCAATTGAACAATTAAATACATAATCATTCCATAATAGTGATACAAATACGTTTTTTGTGAATGTGGAATCAAAGGTTTGACAAGACCATGAAACTCCTAATCGCTGCATGTAGGGTAATATACTGTGGGTTCCCCATTCACTGGAAATTAAGACAATGCAAGATTAACTTCTTTATCCATGCCCAAGAAAAGGCATGATGATGCCTGAATGATTTGTCTCGATTTCTGACTGTATAAAGCTATCACCTGTAAGGATAGATTACCCTTTCTGGAAGATTTCATTATGAGGAGATAGAGTTATTCACTTAAGAAAGCTTTCCTGCCTAAACGAAGTATCTTTCTCAAAGACAATTTTGGATGTTTTCTCCTCCTGCATTCCAGAGAGGCGCTCTCTGGTATGAGGAGAGAGATAAACACTCACAGACATGTTATGGGCCTCCATGGCGGGGAGGACCAGCGATGACAAAGCCCTGAGCAGAATAGGGGACGTCTTTCTCAGGTCCAGTGTTTGGAGCGCTGTTAGAATAATTTTCTTGTAAGTCTAGTGTACTCAACTGCAGAAATAAATTTTCCTGCAATCCTTCCACTGCCTGGCATTTTGGGGGTACCTACGTGTTATCTTACCTCACATCACCTTTCTGATATGATTCAAAATAAGATGAGATAAAATGAGATAAAATATAAGTTGATTGAAAATCATGCTATTCTTACTTACTTATTATGATATATTTTAAATCACTGTTCATTGCCCCAAACAATTTTGCATTTGCAAGAAAGAATAGTATGTTAAAATCACTGAAGTATGCAGAAAGAAATCTCAACTGTTCCTTAGCTATTCGCTGTGTATTCTGCATATTCATGCTACAGGGATGGGAGCATTCAAATAAATGAACAGCGGGTCTGAGAAAGGAACCCAAGAGTCTTACTTCAGAGTCCCCTGCTAGAACATACGGGCTGGTGCTATTTGTGTCCTCATTATTGCAACAGCGTGGTATAAGAAAAAAGTAGATTTGATATGCAAAGTTACGATCACTGTAAGAAAGCATTAGAAAAATTACAGCCTGATTATCACATTAGATAAGCACATTTGCAGCTACTTCTCCAGTCATGAAGAGCAGTACAAGCACATATTGTGCAGTGCAATGCCAGAAAGAAAAAGATGGGGAAGAAATAGAGTGGATGGAGGGAAAAAACATTACCTGCTTCAGATGTTGCTGATGATGAAGGTAGGAGAGAGAATACTGGAGTCGGCATTGTAACACTGTCAACAGCTGCTGGTTTCCTTCTGGTCATCACTTTGCAGGCAGAACTTTCCATTTTACCATGAAGTAAAGTCTGGTCTGCTTTTATGTGGGGGCCTGCAATTCCTGGGGAAGGAAACAAAATGTGGATGAATATTGATAAAGTAACGTCTGGGGAATATGTGGAAAAGAGTAGTCAGATGCTGTCCTCGCTACGCCAGTATATTTCCATATTTCTCTGTGTATGAACCAGTCTTGATACTGTAGCAGGATGCTCTGCCTGGAATGGGGTAAAGTGACTCAAACAATACCCTATTTGCAAAGCTACCAGTGGTAAATGATGAAGGGGGCGTCATGCTGCTTTTGGTGTTCAATAATGCTGAAACATGTCTGATTCATTAATCATAGAATCATAGAATATGCTGAGTTGGAAGGGACCCAGAAGGATCATCAAGTCCAACTCCTGGCCCCGCACACCCCAAGAATCACACCATGTGCCTGAGAGCATTGTTCAAATTTTTCTTGAACTGTGCCAGTCTTGGTGCTGTAACCACTTCCCTGAGGAGCCTGTTCCAGTGCTCAACCACTCTCTGGGTGAAAAACCTTTTCCTGATATCCAACCTAAACTTCCCCTGACTCAGCTTCATGCTGTTTCCTCAACTCCTGTCACTGGTCATGAGAGTGAAGAGATCGGTACTTGCCCCTCCGCTTCTCCTCATGAGAATGTTGAAGACTGCAATGAGGTCTCCCCTCAGTCTCCTCCTGGCTGAACAAACCAAGTGACATCAGCTGCTCCTCAAAAGGCTTCCCCTCCATCCTCGTGGCCCTCCTTTGGATGGTCTCTGATAGCTTAATGTCTTTTTAAATTGTGGTGCCCAAAACTGCACACAGTATTCAAGGTGAGGCTGCACCAGTGAAGAGTAGAGCGGGATACTCACCTTCTTTGACTAGCTGGAGATGCTGTGCCTGATGCACCCCAGGACAGGGTTGGCCCTCCTTGCTGCCAGGGTACTGCTGAGTCATATTCAACTTGCCATCAACCAGGACCCCCAGGTCCCTTTCCACAGCACTGTTCTCCAACCTCTCATTATCTAGTCTATACACACAACCAGGATTGCCCTGTCCTAGGTGCAGAATCAAGCACTTTTCCTTGTTAAACTTCATATGGCTGGTGATTTCCCATCTCTCTAATTTGTTGAGGTCTCTTTGCAGGCCCTGTCTGCCCTCGAGGGAGTTGACAGCTCCTCCCAATTTAGTGTCATTGTCAAACTTGTTTAGTATTCCTTCAAGTCCTGCATCCAAGTCGTTAATAAAGATGTTGAAGAGAACTGGTCTGAGGATGGAGCCCTGCAGAACCCCACTAGTGACTGGATACCAGCCTGATATTACCCCATTCACTATAACTCTTTGTGCCCAACCTGTGAGCCAGTTGATCACCCATTGCATAACATGGTTATCCAGCTGTATGCTGGACATTTTGTCCAGAAAGATTCTGTGCGAGACAGTATCAAAAGCTTTGCCGAAGTCCAAAAAGATGACATCAACTGGCTTCCCTTGATCAACTAGATGGGTTACCTTGTCATAGAAGGAAATCAGGTTCAACAAGCAGGACTTTCCTCTCATGAAGCTGTGCTGCCTGTGACCGATGACTGCATTGTCCTCCAGGTGTTTTTCAATACCTTCCAGAATAATCTTCTCTATAACTTTACCAGGCACTGAAGTGAGACTGACAGGCCTGTAGTTTCCAAGGTTGTCCTTCTTGCCCTTCTTGAAAATCGGGACAACATTCACCAGCTTCCAGTCAGCTGGCACCTTTCCGGATTCCCAAGACTGCTTGAAAATCATTGAGAGAGGCTTTGCAATGACCTCAGCTAGCTCCTTGAGGATAACAAGTCAAACATCCTGATAGTGAGATGAAGATGTGGTAGACCTGGTAAAGTACCTGGATAAAGGAACAAACAACTGATACTACTGATAACTTATCTAAAGCTGCTGAGTTGACACAGCTGGCCTGGAGACATCTGACTGACAGTCAATCACTTTATACTATAAAAGCTCAGTCCCACATTTAAATGGCAGGGTCTTCTAACATATCCCTTCTTGGAGTCTATGTGTGGAGATTCCTCCCTTGAGTAGGGGTGCCCCTCAAGGTTACTCCTCAAGGCTGAGCGAAAGAGATTTGCCCACAGCCGTTGGTATGGGTGAGTAACATCAATCTCTACTTAATAATTGTTTTTGCTAGCTTTAGTACAATTGCTTTAATACATTTCCTTGAATATTTATTCATAGTGCACTATATTATAATAGTTGTTATAGTTCCTATACTGTGTAGTACGTAATTCTGATTAAGTTCTTTTGTCTAATCATTATCATAATAAATCATATTTATATATCTATATGAATATATCTGGTTTGCCATCCTTAATCCTGCAGGACAAAGTTTTATAAAGGTTCAATTAGACCTGTATAATCCTTTAAACATAAACCTTTGACAAAGCCTGGGGCTAAGAGTGGATCCAGCTGCACAGAGACTCCTCTCTGAGAAGGGGTTTAGAAAGCAAGGGCATCCTTTCTGCACCTTGTGACTCAACGGGAGGGCTTCTCTAATAAGCTTTGTCTGAAGCTCCCACTCTGCCCACAACAGATACTAGCAAGGATCATCACTGTTATTTGTTTTTTGATAATTTTGCTGAAGGATGTGCCATCACCAATCTCTATAAACAATGGTAAACCAACATCATAATTCCACATTACTACTTTTTCTTCTCCAAGAAAGCACACACCCTGATACATGTATGTCATGGTTAAAGTAGGTTTTGTTTTCTATCCCCTTTTTCCAACACTGTTTTAAGAGCCAACCCCTCACCACAGCCAGGCATGGTGGTGCGCGCCTGTAGTTCCAGATGCCAGGGCGGAAGTGGAACTCTCTCCATCTTGTTTGGAACCACACTTTTCTTGCTGGTAAGGCTGAGAGAGAGGGAGAGAGAGACATGGGTTGCCTCAGCTGCTCAATTTGGGAAGTCTTACTACTGAGAACTCTTGGACTGGTACCGAGAAAGTGGCTGCTGCTGTCTTGCATCTCGGGAGTTGCGAGAAGTCGTAACTGTTACCGAAACTGGCAAAACTGTAACTGTTGCCAGGCTTGTGGGAGGGAGATCAGAGCCACCTCCTAGGAGGCCCCCACTACAGCCGTTTCTCTGCTAGCTGTGCTCGGGAACAGCACAGCCACAGCCCCTGCATCAGAACCACTGTGGCAGCTGGGCAGAGTGCGGCTCAGCAGAGCTGGGGCTGTGGCCACCGCAGGAAGAGAGAAAACAAAAGTAAAACTAACTCTGCAGCTGCCACCACCCCACAAATCCTGCTCCATGAAATCTTGCTGCGGAGTCCCAGCCAAGAGGAAGCCGCCTGGAGCTGTCTGCTGTTCTAGGGCTTTTGCCCCACTGTTTGTCATTTCTGCAGTCCCTGCTGCTGTCCTGCCTCCTGGGAGCCAAGCTGGACTTGAGCTTAGCTGGATGATGTGAACTGAGCAGTTTAATAGTATAACTTTTTGTGAACAAACAATTTTTCCTAGGTTTTGCTTTTGTTCCTGGAATTTGGGGGGGGGGGCACAGGGAGACTAGAGGTGATTTCTGTCTATTATTGGCTTAAACCATTCTGTTTGTATTGTTGTTGTTGCTGCTATACTTCTTGCCAGTAAACTGTTATTTTTTCACTTATATCTCCTCGTATTTGGTCTCTCTGTATTGGTGAAAAGGGGAGGGGGCTCATTTTTTGGAGTCTCTGCCCCAGCATTTGTCTTAAAACCAAGACAATGTATAAAGACAGACATGCTTTGTAGCAGTTCATATTACAGGAAGAACGTAGCAAAGCATTTTGGGACGTAGTCTTTGGTACTCTATCACACATGCCCAGTGGAATGCTTTAATGTCATTGGTTAAGAGATCATGTGTCATGATTCGAACATTGTATTTAAGCTGGTGTTCTTTGTAATAAACTTAATTCAGACTGCGTCCACGTGTAGTTTGGATTCGTGCAAGAACAAGTACCTCAAATGGCCCCCGCATCGGGACGTTCAACAGGCATTGGAAACCAGGAGCATTAGGCTGAGGGATGCCTGCCGGTGGTACTCCATCTCGATAGAATCAAAAGGAAAAAGGAAGAATTCAGCGCGCGCGGTTACCTCTGCAAAACAGGACAAAAAAGGAAGAAAAAGGACGAAAAAGGACAAAAGAAGAAAACTACAGCTTCAGCAAACAGAGGTAACCTAAATCTGTTGAGATGGGAGGGTGGTTAACCCGAGAGGAGAGGATATCTCCAGAAATTAAACAGACAGCTGAAGCAATTAGCCGCTTTTTACAAACGCAGAACAGAAACGCAGAAGAAATTAAATTGTGGGAACTATTATATTGGATCTCCATGCATGAACCGGGACTTCAATTACCTGGAACTCACCAAATATTATCTTGGAGAAAAATTGGAAACAGACTAATTGAAAAAAACAGTTCAGGAGATATAGAGGCGCTTAAAAATCTAGCTGCATGGAAAGAAATTATGATCGCCTTAAATGCTTACTACAGAAATGCAAACACAGACGGCACAATGGACTCCTTTCCCCCTAGTCCCCCTGCAGCCCCTGCCCCCCCCGAACACGTGGCGCGAGGGTGATGGTGTGGAGGGGTATCTCACAAGGGGGGAAGAGATGGGGGGGGGAGGGAGCTCAAGGGGGAGTCGGTGCGGAGGCAGCGTGTGGTGTGGAGATGCATGGCGCTGGGTTTGCGGCGGAGCCACGTGCCGCGTTCCCCGGTGCCCCCCCAACCGCCACGGCTGCCGTGTGGCCGCCCGCCAGGGCGGCCGCGGAGCCATGCGTGGCGTTTGCTGCTGGCGGCGCATGGCCCAGGGCCGCCGGAGTCGCGGCGGTGGCTGTACAGCCAGCCGTGCCGATGACCGCCGGGGCTGCAACGGAGCCATTTGCAGCGGGACAGCCACGTCCACTCGCTGCGGCTCCGCTGCAGGTGGCCCCAGGCGCTGCGCCGCCTGGCTTGGCGATTAATGAGGTGTTGCCTTGCACGCATCGCATGGGATCGGCGGCGAGGGCTTCGGTTGCGGCGTGCGCCGGTGCCAGCGCC